ATTATCAACATATTTGCTGGGTATATCACCCTGACTTGTTGTAAGGGAAAATTTCTCATTGTGAGACTGAGAGATCAAATACCATTTTATATACTTGACTAAAACCATCTGTGTTAAGCTTTTGTTCGTGGCTTTTTCTTTTTGGCCTTCTTTGCCTTCATTATTTTATGTTTATATGTTAATGTTAAAATTTCAAGATGTTCAAAGTATAACTCAAGAGAACCAAACTTTAAATGGGATATGATGACATGGGTTGGTGGGGGATGATTAGCTGATACAGATAACCAGAGATAATTCTCTTCTAATTCTGACCAAGTGTCCCACAGACACTGAAACATGAAAATATATGATAGAAGCATGCATAGATACATGAGAGGCAGCTTTATGTTAACACTGGGGAAGAACTGACAAAAATCCAACCTAGCAGGGAGTAGTGCACCAGGTGAAGCTCTGCCAAAGATGCTGGGGATCAGAGAATTGAGCATTCATTTGCTTTCCTGTTTGGAATCTGAAAAAGGGAATCCAACAAACAGGATTTATTTGTGACATCACTTAAAAACATGGTACCTGACAGATCTTGCCTTGTTCAGGGATTTTAAAAAGCAAAAAAGTAAGTAAATGAACAAAAAGAAAAAAAAAGCAGAAAGAACAAAGTCACCAATGTAGGGCAAAACAGGAAAAATGAAACAGCGTCTAAAAGATGAAGAACACAGTCTGAAAATGATATGTTGCAGAATCAAAAAAAAAAAAAGAAAGAAAGAAAGAAAATTTAGGAAATCAATGGATTGAGTCCTATGGAATTGTCATTTTTATCATTTTAAAACAGTTCAGGATAGGCAATTTCATAAGGTTAAACCTAAAATATGTTCAATATGCCAAAGACAGGAAACAAAATAAACAATGAAAAGCCCATGCATACTATCATAGAATAAAGAGACAAAACCAGCACTGAATAGCTTGGTTATAATGATAAATATAAATGAAATAAATTCTCTCACTAAGAAAAAAAGACTCTAAAATTGGATAAAATAATTTAATTATGTGTCCTTTCCAGGTGAAACTCCCTAAAACATAGGTGCTTGGAAAGATGAAAGTGAAAATAAATGTATAGGCAAATACATATAAGTAAATGCAAATAAAAAGAAAGGATAACAATATAATCGGTTCAAGTAAAATTCAATAGCAAAAGCCTAAACAAAACAAAGTAATTTTATTTTGGCAAATGATAAAATTCACAATAAAGACATATTATTGCTGATAAAGAACTGTTGGTGATGGAAAATTATGCCCAAAAAACAAATGCAAAAATTGTTAGACACATAGGACAAAATGGACAGAAACCAAACAAAGCCCTAAATCTCTTTTCTATCTTTTGATTATCAAAAAACTCTAAAGATGAAACTTTTTTTTTTTTTTTGGAGAGGTTTTTGTGATAGGGTGCATGTGCTCGCCAGACAGACAGAGAGACAGAGAGACAGAAAGTGAGAAATCACCCCCCAGGGGGGATGGCCACACCGCAATCCCTTCTCCTCCATTCTCCTCTTGGGATCTTGGGCACGCACGCACATGTGCCCGGTGTGAGTTTTAAGCCACCGGGTCCGGGACGCGAACCGCGGTCGACTACATGGGAGTCCAGTGACACAGCCATTACGCCAACTGCTGGTCCCAACCAAGATGAAACTTTTTAATAAGAGGCCAATTAGACAGCTGCTGTAGTTTGTGTGTATCTCCTAAAAATTTAAGTGTTGAAAGTTGATAGGCTATTGTGAGGGTATTAAGAGGGTAGAAATTTAATCCAACTAAGGTATTGAAAGGTGGGACTTTTGAGAAGTGATTGGGATTAGATGAGGCTATCAGGGTAGAGCCCCTGTGACTGAATTCTGGTGGTTGAAGAAGAAGATGAAGAGGAAGAGGAAGAAGAAGAAGAAGAGAAGAAGAAGGAGAAGAAGAAGAAAAGGAGAAAGACTAGAGACATAGAGACACATACAAACTTGGCTCTTTCATCATGTGATGTTGTGCATGACTTTGGAACCCAGCAGAGTCCCCACCAACAAGAAGTCCCTCATTAGATGCAGCCCCTTGACCTGGGACTTCCAAAACTTTGAACTAACTAAACTTCTTTATTATTTTTTATTTAAATAAATCTCTCAGACTCAGCAAGTATTTCTGTTATTAGCAAGATAATAGCTCAAATAACAACTAATCAGACCTAATCTACAGTGAGGCTATTGATGATCTTATCTCATTTAGTGTGAATATTTGTGTATTTTACTAAATAAATAATATTGGATTTGATTTTGAAGTCATGTCTCTGATTTGTCTAAGAATTTTACATAAAACAACTTATATTACCTTCCTAAAAGTTATTAAGTTCTGAGTTTTGAATTATAGCCTCCTCTAGTGGGTTTGGATAAGTGTTTGTAGACCTGTTATAAAGAATTCAATATACTTCTCTCAGTCTTTGACCTATGAAACAGGCAAAATACAGTGCACACAACACAATTATAATTAATAAACATCTTTAAGGGAGTGGATGTGCATATGTGTGTGTGAATCTTGTATCCTATAAACTGAGAATGCTCATTTTCTGACTCTTCTGTAACACTTTGATGTTTAAATCACACTTGAGGATTATAGTGCAATAAAACTAAAAGCGTATACCCCAACCACATGATGTTTTTCCCATTTCTTTATTTATATTTACATTTTTCCACAAACATTTACTTTACATATCAAAAATATTTTTGCTCATACCCCATAGCTTTTGACAGTTAATAAACAACTTTCGAAATTTAAAAATAATAAATTTTAAAGATAATGTTCAAAATATTTCTTATAATTTTGTATAATTTTGTTTGTGACTCTCAACAGAGACAGTATGGTTTTAAATATTTTTGAGAAAATATTTACATGTCAAGTACTCAAATCGTTGAAAAGCAAATGCCCAGCACACAAGTCACACAAAAACCTTCTCAGTTCAGCCCTGCCCACCAAGTATTCTGTGATATGCCATCTGCTAGCAAAGATCAGTCTATTTTTCTTCCTTCATAGCCTTTCTCAAGATAATCCTCTGGGGTGGTTGCTCTTTTGCAATCTCTACTGATTACAATGCTGGGCTGGAAAAGTCCAGGTTATTTTATGTTATAAATTCTTTCATATATCTTCTCTAATACTCTCTGCCAAACTGAACTATTTATGGTGCCAGGCCATCTTTCTAAGAGCTTCTGTTAGCTTACTTGAGATTCACCTTAGTTCCATAGTTTTCTGATTAACCTTCAGATATGACAATTCAGTCAAAGCCCTGTCCAATAATGAGTATTTCCAATTTCTGATTCAATGTAACAAACATTATTGAACTTATGCAAATAACCCTTCTGCCACAAAATAAGAATACTTCCAAATATCTTCCAATTCTAGAGGGATCAGGAAGGAAGAAAAGTTTATGTTTCCATTTAATGAAACAAGAAAAGTATTTTAACTAATTGCTAAACCTATCAACCGCAACAACTCAAAAGGAAGTAAAATGCTTAAATTAAGAAAACAAAGCATAGTAAAAAAAAATCAGTAATGTTTCACTCAAAAGTCATAAAATTGTATTTTGTCAGTTCAGCCTTATATTCAAACTCTCTTCTGTGGAATATGCAGTGTTACTGTGGTTCAATCTTTCCGTTTAAATTCTGGAAGTTGACATTCAACGATATTATTGATATTTCTTGTCCCTAGCATTAAATTGGTCATTTTCTTGGTTGCCTTTTGTTCTCTTATTTCTGTATGTGTCTTTAGTTTTCCTGGTAGGGCACTCCTTTCAGAATTTCTTGAAGAGTGGGTCTACTATTGGCAAATTCTTTCAGGTCTTGTTTATTTGAGAATGTTTTTATCCTTTCTTTCCATATGAAAGATAATCTTGCCAGGTATAGTATTCTTGGTTGAAACTGTTTTTCACTTAACACTTTGAATATATTTTCCCATTTTTACCTTACTTGCATTGTTTCTGATGAGAGTTCTGATGTTAGCCTGATGGGATAACCTCTTGCCGATTTTAGTATCTTCTCTTTGTCTGTAGATTTGGCCAGTCTGGCTATGATGTGCCTTGGAGAAGATCTTCTTGGGTTGGTTCTATTAGGGATCCTTTGTATTTCTTGGATCTGGATATTTGAGTGCCTCTCTAGATTTGGAAAGTTTTCTTCCAAAATTTCATGGAATAGATTTATCAATGCCCTTAGTAGTTTCTTCACCTTCTGGGATACTGATTATCTGGATGTTTGAGCGCTTAATGCTGTCTAGTATTTCTCATATAGTATTCTCAATATTTTTGGTTATTTTCTGTTTTTTTTTTCTTTTTTTTTTTTTTTCTTTTTTTTTTCTAGATCAAAGGTTTTGCCTTCAACACCTGAGATTCAATTTTCTGCATGGACTAATCTGCTTTTAATACTTTCGAGGGTGATTTTGATTTCCTAAATGGCAACCTTCATCTCTAATTGCTCCATTTGATTATTTTTTATGGTGTGTATTTCCTCTTTCAGGTCATAGAAGAATTTCAACACCTCCTAGAACTCGTCTCTTTTCTCCTGCATCTTCTGGAGTTCATTATCTCTCAGCTCTTGTGTCTTGTTTAGTTTTGTCACTATGGATATTCTGAATTCTCTATCAGACAGTTCCACGAGTTCTACTGTACTGTTTGTGGGTGATGAGGGATTGTTCTTTTCCCTTAGGGGAGAGATGTTTTCTTGTTTTCTCATGTTTCTTGTGCCTCTGTAGTGGTTTCTGGTCATTCTGTGACAAAATCTCTCCTCTACTTGTTTGAATATTTCGGGAGTCTAGAAGATGGAGTTTAGAGCATAGCTTCCCTGAACAGGCCAGGACACACCTCAGCTTTGAAATGGCTTCTTGTCTGAATATTTTGGGGTCTACCCAACCTCATGATTTTTAAAATCACTCTTCTAAATTAGGTCCAAGCAGAAGTAAAAACTGAAATCACAGATAACAAAATTTATGGGATGTGATCAAGATTGCATTGAGAGACATACAAAATGCTTTCACTATTAAGGAATAAAAAGGAGAACAAATCAGAATGAGGGCAAGGACATGGCCACGGAGACGGGTGAGTCACACGGTTCGAGAGAAGGCGATGTGAGACTCTCAGTCATACGCCGCTCACGCTTACTGGGTGCTGCTGCCTAGGAATATAGAAATGGCGAATGACTGAATTAGGAAGGGGTTGAAAACGTGAAATGACAAATACCTATAAGAGAAATGATAAAGTTCCTAAAGAATTGCCTTCCAAAAAGGTTGAATTTCATCAAACTTTCAGGTGACAGTTTATCCCTATACCATCTGGACCATATTCACTTAAAAAAGGGATAAAAAGTTTTCCTATTCACATAAATGAAAACCAGAGACATACCTAATTTGTAAACATAGGTTCATACATCCATAAATTAAGATTCTAAATAACGAAACGACAAATCAAGGGCAACAAAACATTTTCAAGCATACTACATAATCAGGTAGATTTTTATGTCAAGAAAGGAAGCAGGGCTCAGTATTGAACCATATACTAACATTTATAGGCTAAAAGGAAGAAAAATTCCTGCCAGCATCTGGATAATTTCCAAAGAGACACTTCATAAAATTAAACCTTTGTTTTTGATTTGAAAAGACAAGGAAATTCTTAGTAATGAAGGCTAGCAGAAAATAATTTTGCCCCAGTAAAAATGTTCCTTTTGGACCAACCAGTGGTGTGGTGGTTAAGGTGCTGGATCACACAGGGCCTAGTCTGCAGTTCGAGTTCTGGACCTGGCAGCTTGAAAATCACACCAGGTACGTGTGTGTGTGCGTATGCGCGTGTGTGTGCCCAAAATCCCAAGAGGAAAATGGAGGAGAAAGGATTGTTGTGTGGCCATCCCCGGGGGGGATGACTTCTTACTTTCTCTCTCTTTTTGTCTCTGTCTCTAATGAGTACATGTGCTTATGACAAAAGTCTAAAAACAAAACGAAACAGTCCTGGGGGCAGCAGGTGGCGTGGTGGTTAAGGTGCTGACATCCTACAAGGCCAACCACAGTTTGAATCCTTGACCTGGTGATTTGAAAATCAAAACAAACAAATAAATAAATGTTACAAACAAAAACAAAACCAAACCAGTCCCTTTGATTAAGCCAGCCCTGTAACATGAGAGTTAAGTGCTGTGTAGAAGAAACCAGATCCTACCTGACAAACAAGGGTTTGAATCCAAACTCTGGTGGCAACATACCCGGCACATGTGGATGCCCAAGATCCTGATCAGATGGAGAATTAGAAGAAGTACTGCAGTGGGATGAGGCCCCGTTGGGGCATTCTCCCTTTCTCTCTGTCTCTTTCTTTCTGTCTGTCTCTCTCAGGCATGTATTCTATCACAAATAAGGAAATAAAAAGTTTTAAATGTCCCTTAGAAACTTATAGCCACCTTGACTGCAGTAGACACGTTTCCACCGGGGCCATGGCCAGGTCAGATGCCCCATTATTTCCTCTGCTCTTCAATATCATCCTGAAAATCCCTTCAGAGGTGTCTGTTGGATGAGGAGGAGATAAAAATGGAGTTGTAATACGATAGTCTACCTATAAACCCCAGAACTTGTATAGAAGAACTGCTAGACTCCAATGTAGATTAATTCAGAAGGTGGCTAGTAGAAGGAATCTCATAGAAACCAGTAGCTTTCTTATATACCAGTAATACAGTAGGAAATACAATACAAAGTAAAACCTCATTCAAAGTAGCAACCCAAACTGTAAAATTCCTAGTACTAAGTTAAACAATGTGATGGTTAATTTTAGGTGTCAATTTGAGTGGATTAAAGAATATCCCAATAACAGGCAAAGCATCATTTCCAGAGAATGTCTGTGAAGAGATTAGCGTTTGAGTCAGTGAACTGAGAGAGGAAGATCTGCCCTAACCCAATGTAGGTGGGGATGTGGAGAGAACGAAAGGGCAGAAGAATGGTGACCCGGGGAAAATGCGCTTTCTTCTGAAGCTAGGACAGCCATCTTCTGCCTTTGGACATCGGAGGTCCTAGTTCATGGCCCTTTGAACTCTAGGATTTGCGCTAGTGACCCTCCAGGTTTTCTGGATTAGACTTTGCACTGAGAGTTACCCCATGAACTTCCCTGGTTCTGAGGCCTTTGGACATAGACTGAGCTACATTAAGGCCTTCCTTGGTTCTCCAGCTTGAAGAACGCCTGTGGTGGGTCTTCCCACTGTCCATCACCTCCAGAGCAAACCCTCTCTCTCCATCCTATCATTTCTGTCTCTCTAAAGAATCCGGACTCAAACAGATTTTGGTACCAGGAATAGTCTCAGTGGAACAGACTTTTTTTGGGGGGAGGATTTTGCTATAGGGCGTGTGTGCTTGCCAGCCAGACAGAGAGAGACAGGGAGACAGAAAGCGAGAAATTACATCCCGGGAGGATGGCCACGCCACAATCCCTTCTCCTCCATTCTCCTCTTGGGGTCTTGGGCATGCACACACACACGCCCAGTGTGAGTTTTAAGGCACCAGGTCTGGGATGTGAACTGTGGTCGACTACATGGGAGCCCAGAGACATAGCCATTAGGCTAACTGCTGGTTCTGCCAGTGGAACAGACTTTTATGAATGAGTTTCCTGAACTGGTTTTGGGAATTAGTTCTCTTAACTAATTAAGCTTTAAAATGTTCAGGACTCTACTTCCACCAGCTCAAGAGCACTGTTAGTTCGTGGCATGAACTGTACAGAGATTTGCAAAATATCTGCACTGGAGACTCCCAATCAACCACTTCTAAGAGGCAAGGGACTTAGTCATTCCGTACATGATACTTTCAAACATTTGTGGAAAACTAAGGAATATTTGTTGTTCTTAATGGCACTACTCAAAGTGAGGAAAGAAAAGAATGAACTTAGAGGTCAGAATTCCTAGTTTAAGAAGGCATACGTGACCTAAAAAATATTCTAGGTGTGATCTGAGGGGAAATCTTATCTCTCCTGTAGCCACAGGGCTGAAATTGCCGAAAATCAAACACAAGTATGCAACATGTGATTGACTGAATTACAATGAAAGTTGAACTACCAGCTTTGCAGTGTCTACTGTTAAAGTGAGAATGTCTATAGGGAAA